CACAAGTAATGATCCACTTTCACGACGTTCAAAATCAGCTACGACACCAGAAATTGTGGATAAAATCCAGGACTTGGTTTTGGAAGACCGCCGCATAGAAGTGCGTGGAATTGAGAAAGCAGTGAGCATCTCTCCTGAATGAGTTGTGTATATTTTACACAATCAATTGGGATTAAAAAATACGTTCTGCAAGATGGGTGCCGCACTTCCTTAATCAGTACTAAAAGGCTGTCCCCAATAATACCGGCATGGTGGTATGCGTTTACGTGTAGTTGAACTATTAATGAACTAGACAGACAATACACATACCGCGGTCCCTCAATAATACGCTTTCTAAGCCTTTTTTTTTTGGTGATGTTTACGGGTGTTTTGATTTGATATAGAAAAGACTTCGAAGAGTATTTGAACTAGTTCAGAACTTACGTTTTCCGCCATTATTCTCAACACTTCGCCGAAGATGTCGTGCTAGTAGACGCGCTCTTTTTGCAGAGACTGTGCAATATAAAAAAAAACTAAATTTTTGCTAATCGGTCGACACTTAAGAAAACTACAGTTTTATTCAATTCAATTCGGCTTTGTCACTGACATGGTAAGAAACGCATGATGTGGATGAGTCTCAAGTATTTTACTAGCGCTCTGCAGCCTGTGAGACTTCATCATTAGCCGATAAGAAAGCCGAAGGACCAATCACGAAGCGAGAAGCGTGAACATTAGAAACCACGCCCTGCCCTTAAGCTGTCGGCGATTATAGAGACTTCTGACCCATTCTGTAGTGGCCTGTAGGCTGTGCGATGCCCTGCACTTGGTTTCATCTTAAGTCTAAGCGCATGCAGCCGGCGCCACCAGCCCATGGGGAAGAGCGTCAGATGTGCAACACCACGGCACTGGTGTCTTGTTGTTTGCCTGCTATATCTGGTTAAACCAATCAAGCGCCATGACTTCGCCACGAGATTGTGTGTCTAGTTACTCTAGTATGTGTGCTCGCGTTTGTACTACGTCTTCTAGCCTTTGACTATGCTCCTATTTGTTGCGAAAGGAAGTATTGTAACGCAATTAAACAGTAATATTAGAATTTTTATTTATTTAAAATGCAACAGGGTTTTTATATATTTATAACTAAGATCAAAGAGTGCTATCAAGTAGCGTTTCCGCATTAAAATTGCGATTTTAAAAATACAAAATAAAATTGGATGATTCTTGTATGTATAAAATAATCGCCAAATTAAACTATGAGATGTTGTTTATACGCGAGACGAAGAGTTGACAAGTGAATATAAAGGATGATAAGAAATAGGCTGAATGCAGACATAGAGAAAGCTCTTCGTTCTTGATTATAATGATCAGCCCAAAATATAAAGGGTCAAGAGAGTCTTATTTCACTCCTACGTGGTGTCATTCTAAATCAGCTTAAGAATGATAAGGCTTTTTTTTTTTTGTCCTTTTTTTTTACCTGGCCAACAAGTTCATGGCGTACTTCTTAAATTTTGGAGCTTCTTTCATATCATCTTGATTTCGTTGTAGGTTTTATTTGTATATGAATTCCGCCGCAACTTAATATTCAATGTTCATTTCGCCGGTGAAAGAGACAAAGCTAGCGATGTTTCTTCAGAATCTAAGTAACTACACAGCACCTAGGGCAGATAAAGAAAAAACTGCGCCGATCAAAACTGTTTCGTACCTTGCAGGCCTTTACCTAGCACATATTAGTACCCCATCGTTAAGGACAAGTATATATATATAACAAAATTTAACTTGCAAGTAAAAAGGTGTAAATAACGGCAGAAGAATTATGGTGCAACCCTTATTATCCAAAATCCTGAAACATGTAATCAATATATGGCTTTCTAATTTATTTATTTATTTATTTCAATACCCTCAGTGCCTACGGCATTATGACGGCCGAAGAATACGGCCGTGACGAAATGAAATGGCTTTCGTAAAAGCGAATAAAAAAAAAAAGTCACTTACATACTGAAATAAACTAATCAATAATTTCCTAGAGCAGCTATACTACTGTATAAATAATTTAACCCTTCACAAGGCGTTTTATTTATTTAAACATGACACTCTTCTGAAACGCTGATACGTTATTATTTTATGGATTATATATAGGTTCCGTGATTTCTGAGTTTATTTTTCGGAGTTTATTTTTTGCCGAAAATTCTGAGTTTATCAAAGTTTATTTATGGTTGATTCCCGATTCTCCAAAATTTGAAGTTTCATTCCTCAGTGTTTTCTATTAGAAATAAATAAATAATATCCGGGTGTAAACGTATGCAGGACAAAAAAAGCGTTTGTATCAATTAATATTTGCTTCGTTGTATTTGGCACTGGTGCCATTATTAGTGGCAATAATAATTTGTCCTTTTCGGCAAAGTTGCACACAAGTGTTGCTTCGATAAATGTCGATACCTTAAAATTAATAAACTCTTCGAGGTAGTCGCTGGGAAGCTTGTATTCATTTTATACTATTCCATCAACCTACCGCGCGGCCGCGCGAGGTAGAGTGGTAAAGGATGTTACAACTCTCCCTCTTCCCCATTTTATGAAAACTCTATGGTTCATAGCTTTCACTGTCACAAAACCACAACTTCTCCTTCCTCTAAAGCACAAATAATATGACCCAAACTGGAAACATAAATAGTGACTTCTGTTGTGACCCGAAAGTACAATGACCTGCTGTCCTGGATGAAATTCGAAACATAAGTGTGGTGGCATTTTCCCAGGACCATTGACTCTACGCGCTGATCAAACCATTAATTGTAAAATACTTTTGTGTGTGTATGTGTGCGTGCAGGGGGCGGAGGAATTGGAACACCGAAATTCACAGTTTATCGGATATATCCGAATTGACCAAACTTTTACCGGGGTGGAGTTTTTCGGATTTATCCAAAGACACGGAACAATAATTATATAATAGAGCATATTTATGCCGGAGATAAAATACATCTATTTATGTGACATAAACATACAGCTATTTTTGTGCCGAAAAGAATACAGCTATTTATGTGATTGATCACAACATGTGAAAATCAATGCGTTTGAAATGAAGAGCACACATCGAAGAAACGTACACACCAGTCGCTCACTCTTTTCATTGCGCTATGCATCACTACCTCGCTCAAATTTACACTCGTCTAAAGCCCTCCCTTACATTCTTGGTTTTCAGAAACCCTATACTGGGCACATTATAGAAATCGTGAATTCGTTCTAATATATATGTATCTATTAGCACCTTGAGAACATTTAAAGATCTCCTTCCCTAAGAAACTGTAACAGCATTTTTAACAGGAGACTCGTACGTGAAAAAGTGGAAGACAACCCCAAACAACGCTTTTTCTGTTATTTATGGCTGTCTTTCTGTTAGTTCCAGTTTCCTATCAAATATGAATGTCGCAGTTGGTTCACGTGTCATCTATACTGCCGTGTCATTGTACAGCTAGTTGAAAGTTTGGGTCAATTAAAGTGTGTGCCATACAATAAAAGCTAATGAGAGGTTTCTGAGGAATCAAAAAGCGAGAAAGGCGTTTTCTTTTAATTGAATATAGAACAATCGCTAATCTTATCCTAATATACAGGGTGTTTTTTTTTAAAGCTTTACAAATTCGTATAAAAAAAGCCGTGAAAGTTACACTTATGCCGCTTGTAGAGGTGAGTTATACGGCCAGGGGGACGTTATGTCGGTGGCTAGCCTTATCGATAAGTCGGTTAATTAATGAAAATTCGTTAACTAACTTTTAATTAGTGAAAATAGACATATGGTTCCAATTAGAAACTTAAAGAGCGTCATCGAAAACCACGAAATGAACTATTTTTAGAACGACTTAAAGCACGTGGGAAAGTCGGGGGCGCACTAAAGTTACCTCTCGTGCAGCGGGCGCAAAGCTAGCAGTGGCGGAACGCGGATGATTAGAATATCATCGCGTTCCACCACTGCTAGCTTTGCACCTGTTTCACGAGTGGTAACTTTAGTGCGTCCCCGACTTTCCCACGTGCTTCAAGTCGTTCTAAAAAGAGTTCATTTAGTGGTTTTCGATGACGCTCTGTAAGTTTCTAATTGGAACCATATGTCTATTTTCACTAATTAAAAAGTTGATTAACGAATTTTACTTAATCAGCCGACTTATTGCAAAGATTAGCCACCCACATAATGCTGGCCTGGCCGTATAACTCACGTGCACAAACCGCAACACTGTAACTTTCATGGCTTTTTTAAACAAATCTGTAAAGCTTTAAAAAAAATCGCCCATGTATATAGTGCAACGAAGTAGAGGGAAATATAAGCTTGTGCTAAAAAACATTTTCTTTACTGCTTTAAAAGCAACTTTTTGTTGCTATAAAGTGTACTTCAAAAAGATTCAATCCAATCACATAACTGACAACTTTACCATGAAATATTGATCAAATCAACAAGAAAGGGAGGATTTCATGTCAGAAAGTTATATCTAAGACCAGATAACTCTAATTTGTGAGCTTGATTCCAGCTTCCACCAAAAACAAAAAAAAATGTAGTAAAAGCTCAAATTAGTATAACTTATTGTACGCACTCGAGCTGTCTAACTTGAAGCGGAGTTTGAGTTCTCAGGTATGTTGGTACAAACTGAGCCTGTCCTACTTCAGGAGATGTCCGAGCAGGCACGTGTCCAGGGGGGGGGGGGGGGGGGGGGGAGCATCGGGCCCCCCTCGTTTCCCCCTCCCCCGAGATCTCCCATTTTGCTGGGGCCTTCACTCCCCTCTTCGCCTCATAGAGCGTGGTTTTCTACATCGGGGATCCACTGTAGCTAAATTGGCAGATGATCTAACATACTAATCAAGAACAATATATATATGCAATACTTGATGATGTACTGAATAAGTAAACAAATAAATAAATAAATAGGCTTATGAGTTTGTCCAGGTAAAATCACTAACTAAAGAAGCATACGTTAAAGGAGGCTAGCTGTTGTCCTCTAACTAAGCCAATCTCACATTATACGTAACATTTCTTGCATACGACTCACAGGCATGACCTCGTAGGGGTTCCGGCGGACTTCACGGAAGGTGGCTCTTGTGCACCCGAAGGTCCAAGGAGCCCTCCAAGAACTTTCGAAGCCTTCAAGAAGAAGTGGCAGGACAGTTTATTCCTATCGCTTTTTGGAACATAAAAAAACGCAGGATAGACTCCTCCCCAAAGCCCTCCACTCTTTCTACTTGAGCAGAGCGAACGCTGAAGAAACTGCGACAAACAGGTTAGATTTTTTTTAAATTTATCTATTTAATTTTGTTATCAACACTACTGTGTTGATAACAATAACCACCTTGTATCAACACTATATATAAAGATTTTAGTATTGAGCCAAGAGGCTTTGTATGTTGATTCATTATGACAGATGTTTTCAGAATTTATTTTCTAAGGAAAGTTGTAATTTAATAGCAGAAAAATTCTACCTAATCAGCTAGCACTATTCATTTAGGAAATAGGTGTTAAGACTTTTGAGGCAATAAACACTTGTCAATCCTTCAAAATCTGTTCACCGTAATGCTTCAGTTCCATCAGGACCAAAGAATGTATATTTCAACTTTTTTCGAATCTTTATAAATTTTTGAAGTATATTTTACCATTGGTAGTACATGCTTATATTGCAGGCAAGCACCGAAGCACCTTGCACAAAGAATGCCGCATTCATACTGTGAGGAACTTCGGCTTCACCAGCTATATGTGCGTGTATGTGTGACACAACATGAGCATACGAATACTTTCACGAAATGGGTACTTGTTGCAAAAATGAACTTACAAAGCCTGTCCAATGATACAGCGTGTCCCCTAAAAAATATTTAGTGTTTTTTCACTGCGAAAATACACTATGCATTGCTAAACGCTCAGTCTCCACTCAAATCTAGCGCTAGAAGTCCGGATCACGTGCCAATGTTTCAGAAATCGTCATCTTATTCGAAAGTTAGAAGTGATTTTCGGAAATCTTTAGTGGAAAAGTAAGGCCAATTCCTGTGATGTATCATGCCATTCATCTCCATGTGTTTGTGGGCAGCGATTTCCCTTCATAAAAATTCCGAAAGTCAAGTATAACGTTTGGATCAAATATCGACAAGCTTTGAAACTTTGTCATTTGGTCCAGACTGCTTGCGTTAAATTTGGGTGCAAACTGAGCGTTCGGCATTGCATGGTTTATGTTTGCTATAAATACAACACATTTATTGGGGGGACACCTTGTACAAAATGTTGAGTATGCAGTCAGATGTAAAGATGAATCAATGTGCTGACATCGTTTCCTGTGAAACATGCACTGTTTTCGAACATGATGGCACTCTTCCCGCAACTTGCAGCAAGCAGCACTGTTACCATTATAGTTGTGTACGGGACACATGCTTTGTCGCCACAACATATGTCCAGTACTAAGGAATTATGATACATGTCCCGTAATTCAACGATATAGAAGATGTTGTGCAATAAGGTTAGCAGGGATATGTCCCGTACCTAAACGGTCTTTTTCTAACAGTGTGGTCAGGGTTAGATACGACTGTGTGCACACTGCATCATTTTAAAAACAAATTAAATAAGGCAATTGACACATTTGAATTGGTAGAAATAGAAAAAGCAACAAGAGCCGCTCTGGTAGCGAGTCGCAAAGCTACGTTTCAAGAAACACTGAATTCGAAAAAAAGTTTTCACTTGGTGCCTAGTAAAACATGTAAAAAAAAAAAATAATCCTCATACTTACGTTGCGAGACTAATTTTTAGTCTTGCGACGTGCTTCTATAGCTTGTGCTATTTCGTGTAGAGGTGCCCAAAGAAAAGCCCGTTTTGAAATTGTTCCGCAATCAAAATGAGTATCACGATGCAAATATCGCGCTAATTGTTTTTCCCCCTTTGGGGGAAACTTTATTTTGTGACATACTTGTCCTATCCAGACACTTATAACAAAAAAATGCTTCTAGAGTTCAGTCTCTCATTAAGAATAGTGTTTCAGGAAGGCGACCTGTGGCGTTTACAGGCTACTCTTTGAACAGTGTCTCTTTCACTGTACTATAGTACACTTAATGTAGGAATTCACATGCTCTAGAACGTTTGCGCAATCGACTTTTGAAGAAGATTGTATTATTGGAGTCATGACTATACTATTTGCTTGGTTTATCCTTTATTCTATTAGGCTGCGCATATACTTCATTAGCATTCACTCTACTCCTGTCTTCAAGCTGTAAATAAACAATTGCGATTTGACCGGTCGCCAAGTTTGTTAGCACACCTGCTCACGTGGAGCAAAAGCTCGCGCCTCAGACCCAAAGGATCCTGGGATCAATCTACGTCCCACCCGTTTTTATCTTAATGAGCATTCTAGTGGCGCCACATCATGCATCACTACCGCATTATCTATAAAACATTGAACGCAGCACTTGCACTGCGCTAGATAAATTCCTAATCTACTACGTGAACCAGTCTCGCCATACTATAGTCTAGACCGACCTCTCGCTGTCGAAATATCTAACGCCTAATTTGCTTTGGTTTGCTCGCCAATGCTGTCAGGATCAGTCGTGTTTACTACTGATCTCAGAAACACAAATGGGTGATATCAGAAACACGGATGGTATATAAGTGACGTTTCATGTAATAAAATCAGTTGTTAGTAGCGCACTGTGGTGTCTGATTCTCGTCGTTGTGGCCTTGTGTTTTGAGCGCTAAAATGTATTCCAAGCTCAAAAACCAACTAGCCCAACAATCTACTCTACTACTGATCGGTGCTTCATATCACCTAGGCAATGTAATTTGGTTCGACAGGTGGCACCATCTTATGCGGAATTTTTGCAACTCTGAGACGCCCCGCGGCCGTAATCATTGGACCCGATTTCGGATTCGAAAGTCCGAGTGCCCTGCCGAACTTGGACGCAGAGCTCGCGTCCAATCATTGGGTGGTCAGGCCTTCCCAAAGCTGCCCATTTTGGCCACCAACCGCGCTGACTAGCAGTCGACCGAGGCGCCTCCTGTTCACTGCTCTGGGGTCAATCGAAGCGTCTATTAGTTTGCTTCATTTTGCAGGGCCCCTCTATCTCCGGAACTTGTGTGTCCCACATTGATTTACATTATAGGTTTTGTTTGATGAACGAACGTGTTACTCGCACTATGCGGAGGGCAAGTTCGTCTGCTTCTTGCGCAGGGGGTAGCGGTGACGTCAGGACGCCGAGTCCTGATTGGCTGATCGCGACCCCCTATCTGAGCGTCGTCTGCTCCTTTGCAACGTCGTCTGCTCGCAACGTCGTCTGCGTCTGTCTTACCTTTCCTGCGACTTTAGGAAGCGCAGAGGCCAGATTCACGAAACGATCTTACGCCAATAATGTGCGTAAGACAAAACTTAAGAACAAATTTGTATTCACGAAACGAAATTTTCGTAAGTTTTGCGCAGGTTACGACGAAATCCTACGACAGCTCCGAAGCCGTCTTACGCACTTCTTACGATCAAATCAGCATGGCCGACAGCGTCGCGGTCGCGACGACCCACAGACGTTTATTTTTCTACGTGCGCTTCTCACGGGTCCCGACTTCAAGCAGCAAGAAAAAAGTAAAAAGTACTTGAAACAGACCACGACGAACAAGAACGCTGGATCCACAAACACCCGGGAAAAGCTTCAACGGCCACGATTATACCGAACGCGACCAAGCGAGCTTCGGCAGTTAGGCCTAGCAGGCACTCCGCGACTCGGCGTCCGTCTGCCCAGGACCGGCTGGCGTGCTGAATGGAATATGTCCGCGCGACCCTTGTGAACCCTTCCCGTATTATACTTTGATCGCTGACCTCAATTTTAGATTAAGAGGTCAATTTCTTCCTCTTGCTATCTCCTTGTTTTCCGAGGCAACGGTGACTCTCGCCGGCGAAAAAGCGGTGAATCTCCGACAGACGCAGGAAAGGTAAAGCAGCCGTCGCTTTGACTAGCAGACGTAAAGCAGACGACGTTAACTGCGCCAACCTCTCGCCGCACACGAAAGGAGGGAAAAAGTATTTGGGAGGGAACTTGCGGGACACACGCTCGGTTCTTGGCAAACAAACCTCGGCGCCTCAGGACACCTCGCCAGTGAGTCCTTCGACTTCCCTCCTTAGTGCACGTCTGCTAGTTGTTAGACAAAAACAACGTACCGCTCAAGTTATTTCGTCTGCCCTCTCTGAAAGGCGAAGACGAGCTCGCTCGTGAAGACCTGCACTTCCGAAAGTCGCAGGAAAGGTAAGACAGACGCAGACGACGTTGCAAAGGAGCAGACGACGCTGAGATAGGGGGTCGCGATCAGCCAATCAGAGCTCGGCGTTCTGACGTCACCGCTACTTCCTTTCTCATGCGCAGACGACGAAAATGAGCCCACTTGCGAGGCGTATAAATACGCCATGAAAGCACCGTCGTCCATGGCAAGACATCTTTCGCTTTGGCTGTAGCGTACCTGCTCTTGTGCAATACCGCCGATCTACAGAGCCGAACGTACCAAGGTAGGAGACTATTATTACCCCCGACATTCTGCTAAGGGGATTAGTGTAGACGGGCAACATACGAAACGACAAGGACGCCGATTTCCGCGTCTTCTCGGCAACCGGTATCCGCTTGATGATGTCAAAGATATGAGTTCACAGTGGCGCGCACAGGAGGAGTTTATTTTGCATTTTTCACTGTCAGCTAGCGAGTGATTAACTTATCTTCGAAAAGTGCCACCTTTCTCGTCGTAGCTCCAGCAGACGTAAATGGTGTATGAGAAGTTCCCAAGGTGGAGAAGAATCACGTAAGAATGACTTGATTTCCAGATGTGATGGAGCGCAACTTGCGCCTTTTGGTGGCTTCTGAAAAACGTCACCTAACTTCAATAAAGTAGCCGTGAATTTTTTTTCTGGGGGAGTGGGGGAGGGGGTGGAATGTTTATAACTTGGGGTGCGGAGGCGGCGGAATGCATGTGCATATTATAGGGCCGGCAGGAGTTAGCCGTTAGTAAAGCAACGGATGTTAACAGTGTCGCCAGTTTTCGCAGTACATCAGTCGCCTAGAGGACGTGAACTGCTCTCAATGTCAGGTGGAAGTCAAGTTATTTTAACGTGATTCTCTTCTACCT